TTGTTCAGGCAGGTTTTGCGAGTCAGAGGTTCAGCAGCTAAGGGTTAGAGGCTCATAGGATTCGGGCTGAGGGGCCTTAGGGTTAAGGGTTTCAAGGCATGTGAGAACTCTTTGGGATTGCAAGTTCGAGGCAAACCCATCCACAAAGAGAGTCGTTCGTGCCTTGAGGTACCGGGTGCACGGTTCGGGAGGGTGAGGTACCCTAAGCGGAACCTTTTTGAAAAGGCTTTCAGAACTCTGGTAAACCCCCCCACAAAACAAAACTTCTAGAAGCCAGTAGAACCCCATCTCCCCAGGCCCAAACCCTAAACCCTGAAGGCCCTAAGCCCTAAACCCCCAGGCCCTTAAAGGTAGGGAGGAAGACAAAGGCCCTAAACCCTAAACCCTAAAGGCCCTACAAACCCTAAACACTAAAAGCCCTAAACCCTAAAGGCCCAAAACTTCCTAAACCTCCATAGATCCCTTATAGTACCCTTAGAGATCCCTTTAAACGCAGCCTTTTTCAGCACGGACTGAGGTGCCCACGAAACAGGCAGCCCTAAACCCCAAACCCCCAGGCCCAAACCCTAAAGGCCCTAAACCCTAACAGCCCCAAACCCTAAAGGCCCAAAAATTCCTCAAAACTCCCAGGCCCAAGCCCCAAAGGCCCTAAACCCTAAAGGCCCAAAATTCCTTAAAACTCCCAGGCCCAAGCTTCATCCTTCCATCGCCGGAGCCCACCGAGCTCCTGCTCCCATCGCTCCTTGGCCTCGGCCTCGGAGGCTTTGGAGACGGAGGGGTTTCGGGGCTCCTTTAAAGGGATCCATAAGGGAGGGGTATTTTAAGGGATCTATAAGGGTACTATAAAGGATCTACAGTGTTTCGGGGCTCCTTCAAAGGGATCTATAAGGGTAGTATATAATCGGTCTATAGGGTTTCGGGGTTCCCTTCAAGGGATCTATAAGGGTACTATAAGGGATCTATAGTGCTTAGGAACTTTGTTCCCTCTTTGGGCCTGGGGGTTTAGGGTTTCGGGGTTCCTTGAAGGGGAGCCATAAGGGTACTTTCAGGGATCTATAGGGTTTAGGGCCCTTCTTCTTCCCTCCTACTTTTAAAAGTCTTTAGGGCTTAGGGCCCTTAGGGTTTTGGCTGTAGGGTGTAGTATGTCTTAAGGATTGTGTTGGACGTCGGGTTGAAGCTTAGGGCTTTGGTGTGTTATAAGCTGTAGGCGCTGGGGCGTAACACACACACACAAGGCAGGAGTACGATTTTGGGAAGCGGAAGCCCGCGGAACTGCGGCAGGAAGTGCGATCTCGAAATCACAACAGCAAGCCTCGGAGGAACTGAGCAATGCCTGGTGCGAGGGGTGGAAAGAACCGAAATCTGGGCTTAATGGTGTAAGGGTAAGGGTTCGGGCTTTCGGGTTTAAGGGAGCCACTCCCTGATACTGATGCAAGCATGATATACCGATATACCTGCACCCATGTATTTCATCACCTTACGACGGCAGGTCGGCCATTTCTGAGGAGCACGAGCAACGAGGGGAGAAACAAATCGCAGGCTCGCTTACTGAACTGACACAGCAAAACCAGGTAAACCTCGCCGCAAGAACGAGCCATCCCGAACATTGCACAGCCTGTGCCCGGTACACCTTAGGACAAGCTTGAAGCAGAAAGCATCAAACACAAAGCGAATCCACCCCCACCAGACCCACCAGGACGCGTGCCCATGCATCGTTCGAAGGTCCTCGACATGTGTGCATGTTGAGTGGCAAGTGGGGTAAGTCGCGATGGAGCCGGATGAAGTTGAAAAGACTCAGACGAAGCGTGAGAGCTTTCTGCAGGCAATTGCGGCAGGACTAGCGACTTGTCTAGTGACTGACGAATTCGCCTGGCAATGACTGGGGCACAGCTGAGAGAGGGAGAGCAGGGAGAGAGAGAGAGAGAGGTTTCAGTCCGTCTGGCTCTTTGTCGCTTGTGCTCCTCTCTTCCCGGCTTCAACTGTCCGTCTCATTTCTCTGCCTCTCGGCCTCGCTGCGCAGATGTCCGAGCCCGTACACATTTTTCCTCAAATAGCCCCCTTATAGTACCCCTTTAAAGGAACCCCGAAACGTCTAACTAACCAATCAGGCCCCTTCATGCAACCCACCGGCAGATGTAATTACGCTTCACAAGAGCACTAGCCAAGAGAGCAAGACGCCGGTACTGGTAGCATGCACACTGGTTTGCAAACAAAAAATAGTAATTCACGAGCATCATGAAAAGAAAAGGCAAAAGCAAATGCATGAATGCATGAATGCATGACGCATCGCTGACAGGAATATCGTGAAATCGGCATCTCCCTCGGCATCTCCAAACAAGACATACCACCTGCATTGGCATGAATGCCAAAACCCTCCTTTTACTTAACATAGCAGGGTACCAACTTTAGCAGCACATATAAGCGAGAGACCCTTTCTGTTGGTAACTGGAGCTATGCGGAAATCTGACTCGCAAGCTCCTGGGATACCAGCTTTCGACGACCGTGGACTGCCTTTGGGAGGGAATCGAAACCAAACCAATTAGTACTTTCTAGCATTCTTACTCAGCTTACTCACTGGTCAATCTTGCTGGAAGTGTGAGTCCAAAGCTGCGGGCTTGGAATCCATATCTTTGGGCTGCTGACGGCGCTGAACCAGAGGCACAGCTTTCCACGCCAGTGCTATGAACTCTGGGCTACAGGTTCCTCGACTCAAGTTCAGTCCGGCACTGTTGCGAAATCTGACACGGCACAAAGCAAGCACAAACCTCCACAACCGCGCACCAACTGGATGCGGCATATCACAGGACAAGGCGAGACGGTGCCACAATCCACTTTTGAGGCTCGCACCGTCGCGGGCAGAAGCCTTGCAGGGCGGTTTTGGCGGAAGCTTGGGCCCCTGGACAGAGTCCCGGGTGGGAGCACGAAGTCCAGACAGCACACTAGCAATCAACTTACACACGTATGAGGATGATGGTGATGATGACCACGACAATGATGCGGCGGCTGAATATGCAGACGGAAGTACTCACCAATATCGACATCAACACCACCATGACGATCAAGCATTGACATGTGGAGTCACTGCCCAGGGCTTGCCGAAGGCATCTGCATGTCATGATGGAGTCGGTCTTCTATTGCAAACGGTTGGGGCGGCAGGGGGCCGATAAAATCAATGGAAACAAGCGATTGAAATCACACTCTGCTGTCTGGCTGGGTCAGAGTTTGTGGGATCTTCGACGGTCCACGAGTGTTCGAGTCAAGGGCCATGGCGTTGCAGGGCCAGAACGAAATGCGAAATACGACGACTCCTGGACGGAGGATTGGAAGAATGTCTGAGCTGCAGGGTAAGCTCCCAACCAGATGCGCAAACCCAAACCCGAAACCCTTGTAAATCTTACAATAAAATCCGACGCCCGAACCTTTAAGCCCCCAATCCCCCAACATAAACGAATGCAAACCCAAAAGACCCTGAACCCTAACTCCACGAGCAGGGTTCACCCCGAATGTAGCGGACAGCCCATGAGCCGCAAACGATTGTCGTCGCTTTTCGCGCATGCCTGCAGCAGGCACCCAAGATTTTAACGTGCTTAGGGCGTTTAGGGTGGACGAAGCCCGGAAAGCAGAGTGGTGTGAGGGAAAACTCCGGCGAGAGCATCAGAATCATAGACAAATGCATCCACCAAAGAGCTGTTTGCGAACGCTGGGACTGCTGGGATCCCCATCACTGCAAGGACTTACAATATCTACTTCTTAGTACGAATAATACAATCTGTATATTACAACATCACACTTATACATCAATAACGGCTCTGTGACAACTCTTCTACACCGCTGGTCTCAGTGCCAGAACTGATGTCAGCATCGACCCCGCCGCAAAAAAAAGGAACCATGTAGTGCATCGTCCATGCACCGTCAGAACTCGCTGAGACTGGGTGGTTGCAACATCCACCCCCAAACTCAGAAGCCAGAAAGTCATGCACCCGATTGCAAGACCAAGCTCAACATTGCCCAATGCCACTAGCTTCTCTTGTGGGTTCTGCTTGCTCAAAAACCGTCTTTGGACACGCCACTCTCCATGATCATTCACTCCACTTGCACATGGGCTTGCCGAAGGGTGTACTCCCAAAAGCTCAGCACTCGTCAACGCACAGAAGTTCAAACTTGAAACCCATCACGTCGCATGTTTTTCAGCATGGGCCTGGATAGTGTGCCAGCGAACACTCCTTAACAGCAGGGCCTTCTCGTTTGACGAGGGATGCAAACGTGGGAGTGACAGAAACACAAGAACGAAACAAGTCAAATACGACTTCACCGTCAAGGAACACGTTTTCTGTCCTATGCGGTTTCGTCGACAGCGCGATCGTGAAACACAACGAACAGCCACTCTTGATCTGATTCATCTGGCTTGCCTTCAGGAAAGATCATTCTTTGCTTCGTCTTGCAGAAGCATCTGCTCCAGAGCGAGCTCCAAACACTAGACCGCACGAAGCGGACGAGCTGCGCGCGCTCCCGCGCCGCCAGCGCCGAGGCTCGCTGGGAATACCAGTCGTAGTTGGCACTCAAGATACCGATGAAGAGGTTCATCTGCACGATGGTTATGCCAAATGCCACGAAGTAGAAGAACAGGTGGACTACGGGATGGTCCTCCTGCGGTTCCGGATCCTGAATCTCCAATTCTCCGACAACCTCGCCGGGAACGAAGGTGGGATCCACGTACTCCAGCTCGTAAAGATCGAAGTCGCCAAGGAACCCCAAGCGGAAAGTCTTCTCGAATGCTCGGTAGAGGCCCGGCGGCATGTTAGGAATACTCAGGACGAAGTAGCTGTGCACGGCGGCGGCAAAGGTGAAGCCCACCACTAGCAGGAAGACGCCGGTGTCCCTAATAGCACAAATTATGGGCAGCAGTTTCTCGTTCAACCCCCAAGCGGTGACGCCTCTCAACCAGTACAGCGCAGACAGCCAGACAAGAGCAAAGTAGAAGGCGATGAATGATCGCTGCATCAGCCACGCTTCGCGTGGCCCATCAACCGGCCACAGGAATTCTGAGAGGAAGTACAAGGCCGCGCTGCTGACCAAGAGATATGACCAGTCCAGGAAGGTGTGAAACGAGCATCGCAAAGCCTTGAGGAGGAATTGAATAAGCATGAAAACTTTGAGTCAAGACAGCGACGCCTTGGAGGGCCTGGTTTTTTAGAGCCTGGTTCAGGTTCGGGCGGCTCAGGTGGGCAGAGGCGAGTGATGAGGCGAGTGCACTCATAGCACCAGTACACGACGAGCTGGAACAGCTCCTCGATAAGCCTCTTGAACCAAGCAACCGACAAAGGAATGAAGGCGGCAGCTGGCAGCTGCCCTCCCGGGCGGCTCGCATCGCGGAGGCTAGCGCTCACAACGCAGCTCATGGCCACTTGGAGGAAGGCCCAAAAGACATGCCAGTAGTACCAAACCTTGACTTCGGCCCAAGAATCGTCCAGGATGGCCTGCACGAACTTTGTGTCTAGGAGGCTGTAGTCTGCACCACAAATAGCAAGCAGAATCTCGTCTGAGGCAAGTAGGTTCGCATCAATGGGTATGACACCGATGCCAAAGCGCTTCTGCTCCAGGGCCAAACCATCGACGCCTATCAGCTTGTCCCACAGCTCCCACAGCTCCTCCTTTTTCCGAAAATCAGATCCGGGATCAGCTCTGGCGCGGTTGCCTGCAAAGTCCAGGACACTGCGCGCATACCGCACACTGCGCACATAGCCGCGCATCCAGGCCATTCCGTTCCCAAGGTGATTCGAGAAGTTTTGCTTCCAGAACAGTCTGCAATTGCATTTGTCAAAATAGCTTGCGCGGTCAAAAGCAAGCATCTGCTCAGGACTCTTCACGAAGATGTCCAGGACAGTCTTCCAGTCAGCTGGGTTCCGAAGCATCTGCGTGATGATCTCCACTTCTCTTCCTTTCAGCAGCCGGCGTACAACGGCCATGTCCTGATAGAGCTCTAAAAGCAAAGATGCAATTTTGGGGCGTTGCCCGAAAGCAAAATTCACCAAGAAACACTGGCTCTCGTAGCTGCGGACGGAGTTCCAGTAGTCGGGGAATCCGCCCGAGCTCTCGTCCTCCATTGCCGCTAAAAGCAGTCGGAAGCACGTGGAATCGCCAGCTTCACAAGCCAGCTGGATTGCAGGACGAATAAAATCAAGAGTGGTCGTCTTCCAATCCTCGTTCTGACCCTCGAAAAGCTTCTGTTGCCTCGCGTTGACGAGGATGCCTTCAACAGCTTCTGCGTTGCCCAGACGGGCAGCGCTGTGCAGCGCTGTAAACCCATTCAAGAGGATGGACGGATCGGCACCCCTTTCCAGAAGGACTTTCATGACTCGTCGCCTGTCGTAGAGAACTGCGTAATGAAGTGCCGTGCTCCGCTTCTTTTCCCCATCAATTTCTTGCACGTTTACATCAGCCGCCGCATCTAAGAGCCTCTGTGCAAGCACCGCGTGCCCATATGCGGTCGCGACATGAAGGGCATGGACTTTCTTCTGCCCTGCTATGGCCCACCAGTCGTCAGCATCGGGCCTCATGCCAGCCAGCAATTCATCTACAGCGCTTAGCTGCCCCGCATTGAGCCCTTCCATCGCGCAGTACTGGTGGAGCAAGGATGTGGACTGAAAGGTTTCGTCCTTGTACATGAACTCGAACTCTTTCTCAGCAGGTGTAACTTCCTTGGTTTCTGGAGTCGCTGAAGACGTGCGAGCCTGCTCCAGCACTGAATGGATCTCGTCGTATAAGCCCTTCAGCTGCTCCGGGCGGATGCCCAGCGACCCGGGATCGGCCGCGGCCCCAGCTTCGGTCAGGGGTTGCGGGTGCTCATCGACTTCATCCCGACTCTTGCAATTCGCCTGTCGAGGAGCAGATGCCTCCGCACGCAAGAAGGCTGCCTCGTCCTCGACAGGCTCCGGAGACACGGGTTGCCCGTTGGCCATGGCGGAGCCGATGTCCGATACTGATTCGGCGGGTCAGGGATGTGCAACTGCAAATGTATCTGCGGCATTTTCGTAGCTGTTGTCGCTCTCCGTGACACTGCTGACCATGATGATGGCACTGCTGTGGAAAATACAGTGGTGAGCATGTCGGTGATGGCTGCCAATATGCCCATTTCCACGTCGACATGAGAAATGAGAATGACGATGCCAGTATTGATGTTTTGAATGATGACGACGACCGTGCTGACGGTGTTGGTGTATTGGGGTGACAGCTGTTGCTATGACAATGACGATAACCCAAACAGTGGGGGTGCCCTGAACATCGCAGGCTTCGGGAGACACACAGTGCATTCTCCCTGCCACATGGCGAAGACGAACAGCTACATGAGAGCTCAGGCTTCAGTTCGCAGGCCTGGCAACTTGACTGACTGTAGGGACGCGAGACCGCGAGATCGAGGGTCACTGGGACGCTGAAGTGCCTATCTCATTTGTTGCGACCTTGAACGTAACTGCAGAGCGATGTGTTTTCCCGTTCGTCTTGACTGCCGCACGTTTTTTTGCGGAAGATGCACGAAGCCAACTAGCGACATCAGATTCGCATGAGGACCACCGTCATGCAATGAATGGAAGGGGATTTGGCCACGAAACTCAGCTTCGCGCAAGGGCCCCTCGTAGCCGCAAGCAGCGGCCTGCACGAGTGAGATCTGTAGTACATCCATGCTTTGCTACTTCTCATATGTTGTCTTGTTTAAAAGGTTATCGGCGTTGCTGATGTTTCTTGATGCTGTCGACATGGGTGTTGCCATTGCCGTTGTTGTTGTAGCACCTGCTGCTGCTAATGCTGGTGCTCTTGCTGCAGGCGAGACCCTCAAGAATGAACCGCAAATGCTAGACACTACCTGGACCCTCCATCTATTAGACCCTAAGTGCCCATTATTTGGGATCATATACCCCTATTTGAGGGTACAAGGAGGGTCCTGGTATCGTAACTCTGCTTTATGGAAAGCCCCAACTCCAAAGCACTGCCCGGCCTAGAAAAGCAAGGGCCTGAAGACCGGAAACCTTCGGGCTTAACGTCCGGTGCCTGTGTCTGTGGAGCTGAGGGTCTAGAGCCTATATAGGATTAGTTTGTATAGGATACTACGGCCTCTTTCTTCATAGCCACGTGCTAAGCGCCTCTGGCATAAAGGAGCTTGGCCGGCTTTTTCCAGGCTCGCCGATGACTGTACACGACGACCTCATGGCAAGCTCCTGTCAAGCCGCCACCTTGCGGCAGGCCGCGGCCAAAGGCGATACGGCGAAACCGAGGCCCGGCAACTCCGGAAGCTTCTTTGCTCTTCAACCAGGACGGCTCGAACACCACTGTACAGGTGTCAGCCAGGAGATCCTGGCGTAGGATTTCACAACGGCCAGGATAGTTCGCGAGCGAGAAGCTCTGCACCAAGGTCGCATTCACCCTCAAAGAAGACATCCCTGTAGTTCTCAACATTCCCCTGTGCACCCTTCCAGGGACCCACTTCTTCCCGATTGATAAGCAGTCGGGGGGTCAACGCTGGGACTCGATTCACGAGCCCTGCCACAGGATAGACACTCAGGGCCGTGCCGACGACCATCAGCAAGTCGCAGGTAGCCAAGTCTTCGCCAGAACAGCTGTGGAACTCTGGTGGAAGAGGCTCCCCAAAGAAAACGATGTCTGGTCGAACCAGGGCGCCGCAATGACATCGTGGAGCTGCGTGGCCCTGCACAACATGACCCGCTGCTGCCGATGCAGTGAGCCCGTGGATTGCATGCTGCCGGTTCTTGGAGCAGACGACGCGACTCGTGGTGCCGTGGCACTCAATGACACGGTCCGCCGAGACCTGAAAGCAAAGTCTGCCGGGAATTGGGCTCTCCAAAAGGTGTCAGTCGGATAGTCGGATCTAGGCTCAACTCGGCCTTACCGTCCACCCTCAAAAAGCACGAAGCTTCGAATCCGTTAAGGGCTTTATGGGCGGCTCAGGGCTTGTACGCGCAGCCGGAGCACGCTGCTCTTTGTTCGAAACCTTAGGGAACAATACTTTGTGCTTCCATTCGTCAATTGACAAGAAGAATGCTGTTTCTGGTCTGCTAAGCCAGTGCTGACTGACTATCTACCACCGGCGAAAAGCAAAATCATGAATGTACGACGGCGGTAAGTAGAAATACTACAGACAAGACAAGCACGACCAATGATTAGTATCCACGCTTCCTTCTTTCAGGGACAACATAGCACAAGGCTCCTCAGCTACTATAAGCGCGACAGGTCAAACTTGGCCAAACGGCCGGCAGGTTACTAAAAACAGCTAATTATATCATATATTATCATATAATCAGATAACCCGTTATATGGGCAACTGGAGCCCTGGGTTGGCTCTGGTAAGACACAGGGAAAACCCTCAACCAGTCATAGGGTTCGTTGGTTTAATTCTCAACTAGAGTGTTAGTTGGGGATGCCGGGCATGTCCTGGTTTCGAGGATGCCGGGGTGTTGGTTTTCATTCTCCCATGGTCCATGGTCTAGGTTCAGAGCACTAGCCATGGTCTAGGTTCAGAGCACTAGATAAGTTCGATTGGCCTGGGGTTGTCGTTTGATATCCAGGACACTCCAGGAATAGGAGGGCTTCTACTGAAACCGCCCAATGTGATGTTGGTCCAGTGTGTTCAAGTCAGTCCAGTCAAAAGATGTGCCAAGCTTCAGCATGTATCAACAAATGATTCACGACTCCGATCTGACTGCAAAGTGATCAAGAGCGGCAACAACAACAAAGAGAGAGAGAGAGAGATATATATATATATATATATATAGCATCGTGCGACATCATGCTACTCGTAGGCTCCTGGATAAGGGTCTAAATCTCCAGTCTTGTGCGGGCACTGCTGGACCCCAAACTGCCACAGCGAGCAGGCCACGCCAGCAGCGTGCTCTAAACCGTCGATGTTCTGGGTGTACACGCGCAGGAGCTTGCCGTTCTGCCTTTGGTGCTCCAGGGGATCAGTAAGTGGGGACGATCAAACCCATTGGCAAATCCTGACCTGACCACGAACACGTTCGCTTCCTATTTGCAGACTGGAGCAACCGTCGAGGCTCTTATCCAAGCAGTTAAACAAAACATAATTAAAAGGGCCTATAAGGGTTACTGAGCTGTATACGGGCACTATTATACAAGGTCCTGAATATCTACTTTTTGGGGGTTTCTTATTGGGTTTTCCACTTTTTGAGACTGCTGGTAGGAAGTTTTACAACATCTGTATCTTCGAATCTGAGAGCAAACCTCTACTAAACTGGAGTCTACGTTGACACAAACCCTCAAAAACAACTAAATTAAGCAGCCCGACCCTTTGGAATTTCGTTTTCGAGGGGCCTGGGCTGACCCCCACAGGATTTCGGGTGTTAGCACAGTACAACCATGGAAAAATCACCCACCGCGCGTTCTGGGTCTCGAACTCGGGAATTAGGATTCACTAGGCTGTGTGGGGATCCTCGGCTTAGCCTCCTAGTGCGCACACTAACCGATTCTTATATAATAAGGCTTTTCTAGAGATGGTTCTACGAGTGTTTGATAAGGCTGATAAGGGTTGAATCGGACATTGCGCCATAACTTCTGCACTCGATTTTAGGGTCTGAAATCTGGAATCTACAGGGGTGTCTACAAATGCCGGCATCATAACAGCCAGACAAGACTCTCCAAATGAGCCAGCAGAGCATGCACCTGCATCTGCCAAGTGATGCCAAGTGGATGTCACAACCAACAGCATCCCACTACGCATTTCGGCTAGTAGGCTGGACATGTCTGCGAGGGACTCCCCTAGTAAGCGGCTCGGCAACGAAAAGCATCAATCCGGCCGCAATGCAGTGTGTCCCGACAGTTGCGATCGACTTATGTTGCATTGAATGTGCAGGAGATGGCTGCAACAGACGGTGGGCGCTAGAATTTCCCGTCGCTCGAACTCTTAAAGCCGACTCTCTTTCATCCACAGACTCAAAGTCGACTCTCCAAGGCGCATTTCTCTCATAGACTTGCCCCCAAACTCAAAGCCTTCGGTCACATGCTGAAGACTCGGAGTCCCAAGGCCACGGCTCTGGGCAATGTGTATATGAGACTACGTACCATGACTGATGTTGAAAGAAAATGCTCATATCAAGTGTCAAGGGACAGCCATGCAATCACAACACAGGCTTCATCCTGCAACTGAGTGCAAGGCCTTGGTAGGCTTGCGGTCGCTGAAAAGCTCCGCCGTCTTTCGCCAGAAGCGCTCGGGTTCTGTGAAGAAGCCCTGGAAAGAAAGTGGAGAAATCTTCAGCCCTTGAGAACCGAAGTACACCAATGCACACCCCGAGCCAGGTGCTCTTAGTGAACCAGTGAACTCCAGACCGCTAGTCTCTGCTCCACCGACTCATCGCCGTGACCTTTTCGTTGAAGCGTTAAACCTTGTAACGATCCCCTGAAACAGATGGTGTACGCCGTGAACCTCAAGCCTATAAGGTCCTATACTCCCACTGAGTCGACTTGAATGCTTTAGGCAAATTTGGCCTTGTAATCCCAATAAACTACGATAGCTCTGGTTGAAAGCTGCCCGCGATGCTTCAGGTATGTGTTTTGAACACCTCCCAATAATGTTTCCGGTGGCAGTGTAATAGGGCTTTGAAGAATCGGACCCGTAACTCCGTGTAGATATGCGCAAAGACGAACGAACACACACACACACACACAGACACACACAGACACACAGACACACACACACACACAGACACAGACACACACACACACACACAAACACACAGACACACACACACACACAGACACACACACACACACACACACCACACACACACACAATCACACACACACACACACACAGAGACACACACACACACGAACAGACACACACACACACGCAGACACACAGACACAACTTTCGGCCCTCCCGCATCTTATCAAAGATTGCCCAGGCGGAAACAAACAAGTTAATGGATGCTGTTCAGCTACCAGCGATGAGGTGAAGCCCTGACTCTCGAATGTCTGATGCAACTACACCTGCAGAGTTAGAAACCCTCGCGCCGCACAAGCCCAACCCTTTCGGTTTGAGGCTCCAGGATGACCAGTAGGGATGACCCTGGTCTAATTAGTCATACCACCTCGCGGGATTGAGTCGATGTTCAGGTTTGAATCATCTACAGGTTTTGACCCCTGAGCCTCATAGGAGAAAAGCTCCCGCGTGGAGGCCTGCGGCCGCAGAGTCATGGAACGAACGTCGTGGAGAGGTGGGCCCAACGTCCGCGATTCTACGTTCATATGTTTTCGCAAGTGCATCCCCAAAAATCTCCGCACGTCACAAAGCTTGCCTGTCCGTCATTGTTCTCTCTCCCCCTCCTTCTCTCTCTCTCTCTCTCTCTCTCTCTCTCTCTCTTTGTTTCTCTCTCTCCTCTCTGTCTCTCTCTGTCCCTCCCTCTCCCTCTCTCTCTCGCTCTCTCTCTCTCTCTCTCTCTCTCTTTCTCTGTCTTCTCTCTGTCTCTCTCTTTCTCCCTCTCCCTCTCCCAAACTCTCTCGCTCTCGCTCTCGCTCTCGCTCTGCTCTCGCCCTCTCCCTCGCCCTCTCCCTCTCAGTCTCTCCGTCTCTCCGTCTCTCCGTCTCTCCGTCTCTCCGTCTCTCCGTCTCTCCGTCTCTCTGTCTCTCTGTCTCTCTGTCTCTCTCTCTCTCTCTCTGTCCCCCCTTCCCGCTTCCTGCCCGGATGAAAGACAACAAGTTTCTGTGGACGCAAGAAACGAGTCGACGGAATCTGTATGCACGATTGTATGGACATGTATGCTGTATATGTGGTTTATGCTTAAAATGGGGCATAAAGCGTACCTATTCACTCTATGTATGCACATATGTAATTGTGTATGTGCGTATGCATGCATGTGTATATATGTATATATGTATATATGTATATATGTATATATGTATATATGTATATATGTATATATGTATATATGTATATATATATACATACATACATACATACATACATATATATATATATATATATATATATATACATATATATATATATATGTATATATATATATATATATGCGTGTGTGTGTGTGCGCGTGTGTATGTGTGTATGTAGGTAGTTGTGTCTGTGTGTCTATACCTGCATGCATGCATAGGATGGATGGATGGATGATTGGATGAACATACACGCACATACATACATACATACCTACATACCTACATACATACGTACATATATACACATAATGCATACATGCATGCATGCATACATACATAGATACATACACACATACATAAACATATACATACATACATACATACATACATACATACATACATGCATAAATACTTACATACATACATACATACATACATACGTACATACATACATACATACATACATACACACATAAGCACACACACACATATGCGCATGTGTATATATATATATACATATATACATTTACATACGTGCATACACACATACACACATACATATATACATGCATGCATGCATGCAGGCAGGCACACAAATATCAATAAACCGTTACATGAATACATAAATATACATTTAGAATATGTGATATAAACTGTAGCACATGCAATATGTAATAGGTGACATAGATTACCGAATATTTAAGACATATATATATATATATATATAGATATATAGACACACAAAACATATAATGTATAAGAGGTTAGAGACTTTCCAAACATAGAAAATATGCTGTACAAGACGTACTGTAGTATACAAGATGAAAACTGTGAATATGGTATAACATACCCATCCACAAATGCGAACAATACACTGTACTGATGCCTTTATGTGCAGATGTAAACAAGAGACTGTGTCAGACTGTCTGCTTGTGTTGCACACATACACGAGCATCACTCAGGGACCCGAAAATGCCGGCAGCCTGCGCCCAAAGACCCGAGGCGGAGCGGAAGTCAGGAATCCCCGCCTAGGTCGTTGGGATCCCAGGTATCTTAGGCTTGGGGCTTGGAGGTGGCGAGTTGTTCAGGGTGCAACGTTATCCGTTATTGTGTTGACACATGTCTTTTGGGTGGAGTGGGCGGTTCTCTACGTACTTCCGAAGTTGTTTAGTTCTTAGACGGCATTGCTTTTAAATCTTCTGCCTTCCGAAGGAAGATTAGCTTCTTTCCAAGCTTTAAACTATAAACGCAAATTTCTAAATTGTGGATGCGCGCTAGTACAGCCCAGACGCTTGGAAGACTTAAGAGCTCAAGGTTTCTGTGCTTGCCAAGACTCTGCGGTCGATGCTCCAGCGCCAAGGAGCACAACAATCTTCCTGCACCTGCTTTCGATCAGCTGCGCGATCCTAAGCAGCCGATGCAACTCCAATGTCGTACAGATCTCTATCATCGTATAAAGCTCAGGTGACTACCGAAAAATGCCACACAAGACGATTATATCCGCGCTTATAGGAGCATCGTACGAAAGCTGCTAGAGAATTCGCTTTTCAATTCTGACAGAGCTCTCAGCTGTGACCGGCACCACAGACACCAAACACATGCCGCAGGCCCTATCTCACAATGGACATGCAATCCGTTTTATCACCCTAGGCCGCATGCCCCAAGCGACTTTTATGTTTACAAAAAAGCACAATTGGGTACTGGCAATACAGGAGCCTACTTGGTCCTGCTGCACGAGTACAAGCACCTGTGCTGGTACTTGAACTAGATCCAGTCCTACTAGTGCTGATGCTACTTATGGCTACTATTGACACTGAAGTACCACTCATACTACTGCTCTTTTTAGTTTACTACTGGTACCTCTAACACTGCAGGCACTGCCAGTTCGACTAATGTCACTTGGTCTTATACCACTGGTGCTACTGGAACTGGTGCTACTTCTGCTGTTGTTACTACCACAATGCTGTCACAACTTATTCTCTTCTGGTATTCTGCGGGCACCACAAGTACCAATAGTGTACCACAAACGGCAGAGGATGCCAAGCATCCCTGGCAGCGAGAAGTTCCCATTCAACACAGCAGCGCGCGCCTGGAAACTGTTCTGCCAAGCCAGCGCTTTTGCTGGGAGGGCGAAACCCGCGGGCTTGGGGTTGTATGGGATCGGAGGGTCTAGATTCTATTGGTTTAAGGGTCTGACGCAAGCGGTTTACGGCTTTGTGGACACGACTTGCGCGGCTTAGTGTGCCGGCATTCCGACAGCTCCTCCACTTTAGCGTTCGTGAAGACTCGTACCGTGGACGCAACCCTTCCGACTAATATAGGATTTTGGCGCCGATTCTACTACTTAGTTGCTGAGTTCATAAGCCCCCCAAAAAGCGTAGTATTATCCCGCCCAAAAAGTGTAAAGTGCAACCACTCAGCTACTAAGACTATAATTAATTACATATGAACCCCGAGACGAAGCTTTTTTCGTCGCGCGGGCGAGTGCCGAGGCCGCCCCCAAAGTAACGGGAGCCTGGGAACCGCAATCGCACCCCTCGATTGCGTCGTGGGCACTCAAAACAACAAAACTGCCACATGCGTTTTTGCATGGAAGCACCCTCTTTGTCTAGGTAAAAGCATCAAGCATTGCTGTATCAACTGGCTGGGAAGATTAAACCATCGAGGTTCTGAAACTTAAACAACAACTCGCCGTCCGAGAGATGTAAATTACCGCACCGGCCGTTTCTTTCAATCCTCAGCAGCGCTTGGCGTTTACAACCAAGTTGAGAAATCTACGCCTCAGCACGGCAGGTAGATCATGCCCCAAGCAAAGCACGCTTCGCAGGGTGGAGCAGGCCACCTGACTCCTGCGGAGACGCGGTCCAGGGTTTGCTTCACCCGGTCCGGGTTTCCCACAGAGCCCAATACCCCTTAATTTAAGGAATATACCGTAAACTATAAGAGGGGTTAAAATTATGATTTAAGCAATATTCCTTAATTAAGGGGTATTGGGCTCCCTGGCTTCCATCAGCTTTTGTAAGGTTGGCAGTCCATTGGCTCTGAAGGAGGGCAGCCTACCCTGCATATAAGCCAGTGCTTGCATATTCACATTCTTTGGCCGCACAAAAAAATCAAACAGCCAAAGGTCCGAGAGGCCTGTGGGAATAGTGGCCCTAACCCCTAACCTATATGGGAATGATGGGGCTTCCACACCTTGGTTTATCCTTAATCCTACACACTAAACTTTTCGGTCGCCAACCCTAAGATCCGAAACCCGAAACCTTTTTTTGGCATCCAGGCTTATTGCGACTGCCGGCGGGGTACACTGAAGTAAGGACACTGAAGGCCCCAAGCCCGTAAATCGCCAAACCCTGAAGCCCTATACTATACCCGAAACATCATCCCCAAACCCCAAAACCCTGAACTCTCTCTCTCTCTCTCTCTCTCTCTCTCTCTCTCTCCCAGGCATTCGAAACGTCAAGCCCGGCTGCAGGACACAGAACCCTAACCCGCAAATCCCTGAACCGTAGCTCGTTGTGAGAACTTGAGATTTCCGGGCGCCAGGTCGGAGAGCCCAGCTTCAGGCTGAGCCTTATTGCGAATTGGGCTTAAACCCTCCTCTACGAATAGAACTATATATAACTGACCTATACCTACCAGAAACCTATAATATGAATCTTATAACTAAAGCTATAGCAAAACTACGGCACAACCATAGTATATGTACAGAGTAAGCAAATTCGGCCTTGAACCCTCTTCCCTGTATACTCTGACGGCCCGGTCCAGTAGGGTCGCTTAAGCCCCTGCTTGTTTAGGCTAAGGCGATTGAGGGCAACCGAGGGCCTGAAGAACCAAAAATAAGGCTTGGGTGCACATGAAACTCGCAAGCCATATTAGGGAACCGGGAACCCTGCTACTGTAAAGCCGTAAACCGCGCTCTTCAAGAGTTGAAGCCGCAAAAAAAACAATGCCCTAGACTCTGAGCCGAAACACCCTGAACTCTACACCGTACTACCCTTGCACTCTCCCTTCTCCCTAATTAAACCCTAAAGGCCTTAAATCCTAAACCCTATAGATGCCTTTAAAGGAACCCTTATAAACCCTAAATGCCCTCAAGGCCCCAAATACAGCCCCAGGTTTGAAGTCGTCCTCCAGAGCTTTGAGCATGGCGGTGTGGCTCTTGCCGCCTGGTTTGGGGGGGCATCTACGGTTCGGGTTTCGGTTTCTTCCCTTATAGCAAGGACTAAGGACGAAGCCCGCGTTGCAGGGAATCTTGGGTGAACAGTCGAAGACAGCTAAGATTCGGGTTTAGAGCTCAGGGTTTGGAGTTTGGAACTTCGGATCCCGGGGCCTAGGGCTTCAAGGGGGTTTCGGCGCTCACGTTCGGACTGCTTAGACGGGGCAAGTGTCCAAAGGCCTACTTTGGAGGTTTAGGGAATGTAGCTTCCGTTTAACTCATAGCTTTCAGATGTACGGTCTCGGCTCGTTTTATGTTGAAATCTTGCCATGGTGTGTTCTGCTCAAAGCCTGAGATGCTGCTTTCGCTTTTGCCTTGCTCTTACGGACGTTGGAGCTCTAGGGCCACGGGTCTCAATGAAAGGTGACGACGCTACCGCCAATTCCAGAACAGTGGAATTATATGATCGTTGGCACTGTTCTTGGAGCTAGCAATTATGCGCGATCCATTTCTCATCCCAGATCCCATCGTCGCCTTTCTGTGGTTCCCAGCAAGTCTACTACAGGGGCCTTTAAAATTAGACTAGGGTTTTGGGGCATATTATGCTGCAATCATACTCAGGATCCCCCAGCATAGTATAGGTAATTATTAAGGCCCCTTTTTTAGTACTTGCAATCGAGCTGCTCTTCACCACATCTGGGCGTGCCGCAAGCTTTTCGAGCACATCCTCGCAACAGGCTTTCAAATTGGGCGAAAAATGCCAAGACAGGTCGAACAAGAGGGGCCTAATTAATTACCTATACTATTTTGGAGTGTTCCTTATCATAAGTATAGTAGAGTGGACCCCCAAACCGCAGTCCTAACATTTACCTCTCCATGCGACTACCTGCAATCAAGGGGGATTGCAGTGCCAAGATATGCAGGAAAGGGCTAGCCGCCATCAAGGAAACAGGGCCTGGAAACCCAAGGACAACCCAACACCCTAGTTCCCCAAAGTCCTTCCATATCCCTTATACCATCATTATATCAAGTTCCCAAAGTCCTAGGATATCTCCTATAATTACCACCAATATATCAGAACCCTTAGAGTAAGCCTCACAAATGCTATACTGAACTTGGAACCCTAGCAAAAATCATAATTTTAGCTGTTTCTTAGGGATTATAATAACCAAAAATAAAAAAAGATTCCTTAAGAATGGAACCCTCAGAGGTCCTTGAGTCCTGCCTTCTCTGCCTTTGCGGCGACGGCTGGAGCCAACTCAACAGAGGGCGCCTTTGCCAGGGCAAAGTTTGACATCCAAGGACGTTCCAGTGATAGGGCTCCTTTAAAGGAACTTTTATATAGATCCGACAAAGAGCCCTTATATAGATGCCCTAAGGAGCCCTTATATAAATCCCTTAAAGGAGCCCGTAAGGGTGCCTTGCAAGGATTACTTGCAGGGTTACTCAAAGGGCAAATGGTTCCAAAGAGTTTTTTTGACACTCACACTCACTCGGACTAGCCTGGCAAGGTCTGCAGTTGTAGGTTCAGAGAGTTTTCGGGATTGCTTGGAGAAAACAAAGACGCACATTAACACAGGTATAAAGTCGATTCTCCCTGCCATCAAAAAGCCCTCCGATGAAAGAGAAGAGTGAATACTCGGCATGATTAGGCCATTACGCAGAATCAGGGCTCACCGATTCAAAGATCGAGGGTCCCTGAGCCCACGTTCCATTCGCTGCCTCCGGAGTGGACTTCTTCAAACTGAGCCCCTTGGCACCAGCCTGACAAGGAAATGACAAGCCGGAGATGTCAAGTTCAAACAGTTTTCGGCTACAAAGCCAGGTACGTATTCTAGACCCAACAGTAACCTTGGAATAAAAAGGGTGCCCTTTTTGGTTAAAAGAGGCTTATAAGGAAACCTGAACCCTAAACAAATGAAATAAGGGCCTACTCCAGGTCCTAGGCCTAGTATGCATTGGTTCTGAAACTGATACGTGCTACATTATATTGCCGGCGGCATCCGTCTCACAGCTTTCACATGTCATGTTGGCACATCTGGTCTCAGCATAAAGACTAAACGGTCTACCACCAACCGACCAGCCTCTTTGTACTCTGCGAACTGAGCCGATGATGCCAGCCGATCCATGTCTACAACCCTAAACCCTAAACCCTGAACCCTAAACCCTGAACCCTACTCCCTAAACCCTACTCCCCAAACCCTAAAGGATCCTAGCAGTCCGCAGAAGCATCCCACACCCTGAACTCATCCTACACCCGACCTTGTTCTTCGGTGATGCCTTGGCTTTGGCCTTTGCTTTGCCTGCCTTTGCATCAGCCTTGGCCCTCTTCTCCGCGACTTTCTTCTCCTGGTTGGGCGCTTGCAGCTCGAAAAGTATAGAGTAGTATGTTAGAGTATGACCCCTATACATCCCTATATACCCTACCCAGGTGACAACGTGCGTTGTAGAGTTCTGGTTCTCCTTCGTTACGAACCCTTGGTCGCCTTGGCCGCTTCCTTCTCCTCCTTGGACAGCCGCGCCTTCTTGGCCTAAGTTTCCCAGTGCAGGGCAGTACATCCATTCTCCGGGATTTTGAGGCCGACCTTATAAACCCATAATAAGTTACCTTTTCGAGGTTCCTCATAAAGCAACTTTCTACGGTCTTCTTGGAGGGTCTTACAAAAAAAACGTCGGTTCTAATAATTCTGGTAAGTTAGAGTATGTACACATTGGCCTAAGCAATAACCTCTACAAAGCTGTCAAGTGTCAAGGCAACTCTCACATCACCACCGTGCTTCTGACGCTAGCAACTGACCTCACGGCCTGCGAGTACTGCATGTGCAGCCTGGTTGCAGGCTTTGCGGTCTCCTCGTTCTCAGCACTGGGCAGCGGCACGTAGGACTTCTTGGCCTCTTCGTACTCAGCCTTCTTTGCCTCGTACTCCTCTTGGTAGACCTTCTTCTCCTCTTCGCCGAGCTTCTTCCACTTTTCGGAGGCCAGCTTCGTGATGGCCGTGACCGGCTGGCCCTCGACTTCCTTGGTGAAAGCCGCTCGGTTCTTGGCAAGGAAACAGCCAAACGCACCACCTGCTGGCTTTTTGGGTGCTGCAGGGTCCTTCTTGGGCTTGGAGGCTTTGTCGGCCTTCCTTTTGATGCCCTTCTTCTCGCCGCCGGCATCGAGGAAGGCTTTCATGTCGACCTCGTACTTTGCCTTGGCTTCCTCGAACTTCTTCTGGTACTCGGCCTTCACGTCCTCACTGAGTTCCTTGTAGCGGTTCCCGGCCAGCTTGGCCACCTCGGACGCCGGCTTCCCGGGCCCAAGCTCCTTCTGCAGCTCCGCCCGGTGCTCGCCCAGCCAGACGCCGTAGGCGCCGCCGATCGGCTTCTTCGGCTGCTCACCGGCCATCTTTTAAGGAAAAGGTGCAAGCGAAGGGCACAAGAGAGGGTGCAGGCTTTGAGGCTGGTGGCAGCCACGCGGCCATGCGTCCTGAACTTCTGAACCCAGCCGATGGCTTCTTACGCCAGTGAACTTGTAACGAGTCTTCCTATTCCTGTTGTTGACTTAATAGTCTCGCACCTCTTCGAATGAACGAGGGAACATGTGCTCGTCCAAGCATCACCTTGTCCCCAAAAGCTCTAAAAACTCTTGCACCTTCTTGCCGAAAGCCTTCTTCAGCCGTAAACCCAAACCCTATCAAGCTCTGATGCCCCAAGGCATAGCGACCACACCGTCAATGTCGAGACAAACATGTCCAAAGCAATCCCGCTTGGCTGCTTGAATTCTGCAGCATGCACTCGGCGTTTCGTCAATGGCCTAGCTTGCGGTTATGCAACGGATGCAGCTCGATGATGTGCACGCATGGAACAATATGCATAATATGGACAAAGTCTGCATCTCTGTCTCAAGGGCCTCCCTACTTAACTTCTGCAGATGCTTCGCGCCATGTAGAGCTAGCTAGATAGAAGTTTGAGTTGTTTGGTGCTTCAACAAGTCTAGGCTTGCTCGCTGTCCGCCTCTAACGGAATGCGATGGTGGCCGCCGCGACGAGAGAGGTATTTGGCGTTGCTTGTGCCACGAGGCTTTTGCAAGTCCAGACCTCGGAGGTCGCTCATCGTTACGCTACCAAGCCCCAAACCGTCTAAGTGCAACCTGAAGCCGTGACTATGCCCTGCACGCTGGATCCTTAGCCGTATCTCCGGGCGCACACTCCGTCTCGTCTGTGTGTATACCGAAATGAATGGGCCGATATGTACATATGTGTAATTATACATGTGTATAAATATAATGTTACATACATACATACATACATACATACATGCATACATACATACATACATACCTACGTACATACATACATACATACATACTATATATATATATATACATACATACATACATACATATATATACACACACACACACGCACTTGCGGCTATGAGCCGGGATACCAGCATCAAAGGACAATGCACGTTTTCGTCTGACATAGCGCTCTTGTACACACGCGCCCAGTAGCCCATTGTGTTTTACCATTGCACCTTCCACGTAAATGGATTTCGCGGTTAGTATGCTTTGGCGAAAGGATATCCGAGCTGCTTTGCCAAAAATCTCTGTTGCTTTCGGAGGCGGTCCTCGCTCTGCTTGAACATGCACGGGATGCAGAGCTTGCATGCACTTGAGCGCGACAACGCTTGCACCACGCATGCAACATGCGGCAGCCACTCCAGCGTATTGAGGTTTGCTGGACTGTTGGAGGCTATGGGGCCCTGGGACCAGCTGGAGGGTCTACAGTACCATCGCCTTTCAGGATCCGCAAGAAGGACTCAGTTGATCACTTCTGTCAAACGAGCATCCGCACTCTTCCAAAGCGCTCCTCGAACTACAAGGTGTTGGGTGTTGGGTCCAGGAACCACAGGCAGGGTGCAGCTACGACAGGAGCAAGATGTAAATCAGTCCTCAGCATCTCCAGCAGCTTGGCGCTGTCCTGCTAGACTAGACAGGATATTCGTTGCCTTGCTTCTAGTATGCTTTACAGAGTCTGGGGTTCCGGGTTTTAGTTCGGCTTGCTGAGCAAAGTAAAGGTGAAGGGTCGCAGGACGTGTTCGACGGACAGCCCTTGACTACAAGAGGTCCGGTCACGAAATTCGGCCTAAAAGCATAAACATCTTCAAATGTGAGAAAACTTCTTGAATCCGATTACAGGACAAACGCCCCCCCTTTCCCCGAAGAAGCTTGGCTTGTCGAGACGAGACACTCTTTTCCTATGCACCGTGCCTTCGGGTTTTGCAGCGTCGCTCTGCTAGCCTGCTACCATCCGCAAGCACATCTTTTTTGGGGGAGCTCACACCCCGAAGCTCGGAACATCTCGAAACCGAAGCGGAAAAAATCCCTGAACCGTACAGACCCTCATTTGTTCTCCTCCTTTGACTTGCCGGCCCTTGCAGCATAGTGTGCAGCAGTGAAGCCACTCTCATCCTTTCGCGCTACGGCGTAGGGTTTCGGGCTCTGGGCCTGCTCACCAGGAAGGCGAATAAACGAGCTCCCCCCGCCCGAACCCACAAAGGCGCTAGATTCCGCGAAATAAAGACTCTGAGCCGCATCTTGGCAGCAAAAAAAGACGGAAGGAAAACTGCGGCGGCCAGGTCTGTCACCACTGCTGCTGAAACCTCCCCTATCCTTCTGCTGTTTGTACTACTACAGTACGACATAGTACTACTACTACTGCTACTACTGAGACTACTGCTACTACTACTACTACTACTACTACTACTACTACTACTACTACAACTACAACTACTACTTCTCCCAGTGCTGCGACTGATGCTGCTACTGCTAGCACATCGCGGGCGACGACGAGGACCGCGTCGAGGACGAAGACACCAACTACAACCTACAAGAACCAGACTACCACCTTAGCCACCCGTGCTATCACGACCACTACTGCTCTCGTGTGACACTCCAGCCTGGCTCACCTGCGATTTGATGGTATCTACGAAACACCTCAGACAAAAAACTCCGGTTTCAGGGGTTCAGGAATATCCTCGCGCATAAGATAGCATCAAAGAGCCTCCGTGGTCGGGTCCGCACGCGCATCCAGAAGAGCGCGGGCGGCTAGCACAGGAAGCGTCTTCTCAACCTTTGGGAGTTTCGGTCGGGGTGAGGAATCATGATGCCACTCCAGGAGGGAGGCCTAAACACAAAGCAACCGCGTCATGCACAAAGTACATAAATCAAACTAAATATGCTTATAATATATATGTATATATATATATATATAATATAGATATATACATATATTAATATTTATATATACATTATACACAATAAGTTAGGACATGTTGTCTACGAGTGTGCGACTAAATATTGCCGAGATGCCAAGCTGAAGCCAAAGCAGTGTCCCTAGTAAAGTGTTGAGTATAAAGAAAGCTTAACACCCTACACATTCAACTGCCAGACAATGCCTGAGCCTCTCAGGCAACTGACGCAATGGATGCTATTTCCGGGCTCAGTCTACAGCTCCCATTTAAAATCTAAAACAACATGGCTTCCAGTTGGGATTTGGGTTTAGAGCCTAAAAACGCTAGGCGACTTGAGGTTTCGGATCTGGAGTTTATATGGGGGCAGGGGCAGCTGGCATCCCGGAACCATGTCGGCCAAGAAGCTCCAGCCAAATTTAGGAGGACGTGCAGCGAAGAGGCATCCGAGAAGTCCAACCTCCGCAAAAGCTGCACCGTGGACTCATGCCCTACTTGGAGGTTCATCTCTCAGCATCACCACCATCGCCGCCACCATGAATCAACAACACTACCTTCCTCTGCATTGTACCCGCTGATAAGGACTGTCATCCTCAACATCACAACGAGCAATCCCTTCCTCGTGAAACAATGTCCGACAGCAAAACTACAATAACAACAACTCAAACTACACCATGATGATGGCGTTGTTAGCAATCTTGCAGCGACCGTTCGTAATGAGTCGAAAGAGTTGCAAAGCCATGCCTCCACTCATCTCCTTGCTCTAAACACTGGCCTTGTTATCTGCAACCGGTGAACCAATCTTCGACGGGCTTCGGTCTTTCGCTGGACGGGCCTCCAATCCCCAAAAAGCTGAGCCATACGAAGTAAACAGCGACAAGATTCAAGATCTAGGCATCGTAGGGTTGAGACTGTCTATATATCTGTCCCTACATATATGTATGTATGTATATATATATATATACATATATATATATATATATATACATCAATATATATATGCATATGTACATACGTGCATATGTATGCTTTAGTAGACTTTCTCCCTCAGGGTTTAGGGGCTTCCCTCGCCGCCAGCCTGCAAGCAGCCTCAGGGTCGGCTTCCAGTATACTTCGTAGAGCCACCTTTCCAGCGGACCCGGGCTTCACGGACTAATGCGTTGCTGTAGGTTTCGGCTTGAAAAGCCGATAGGTCTCGAAGTTCGGGCTGTGGTATTGGGCGTAAGCTATGGAGGGTTGGGGCTCGTCTTGAAGCGCTTGGGGCAGCTAGGATTGACAAGCTTAGACTTCAGGTCCTAGGGACTGGGACATGCAGGATCTCAGTATTTGGGGTTGCTGGGTAACTAATATAGGGCCCTTAATTTGGAATACGCTGTTGGGGCCCGCTATACTATACTTACTTATAATCTATAATATTAAGGAACCCCCAAGATAGTGTCAGCACCCCTCATAGTTGCTCGTTTATATGGTACCCTCTCTCACGGCTATAGTTCCTAGTCTACAGCTGCAGTACCTCTCATAATAAAATTTTGGTATTCCATAAGCCGTAAGTATATAGCATCCCTTGCCACTTCTGAAAACTATGTAGGGCTGTGTTCGAGGACGTTGTGTTGGGAAAACACCGCGCTTCAAACCAGAAGGAAACCTATGACTTCTTTTAAGTCATAGTCACAGGTTGGGGCCTTAACCCACCAGACCGATGCAATCCAACGAAGCCACCTCCACCAGGCGTTGGTCTTCTGGAGCTCTGGCGCAGCAAGCGCAGAGCCTTCATTTCCCCCCCCTCTCCCGACTTACGCTCTCGCAACTCGGACTGGCCAGGCCCTGACCGGCGCATCTGTTGACGCCTGAAGCCCAACAAGTTGTACATGTCCCAAAGTGACACCCAAGTGAAGGAAACTCAGCAATGCTGTAAGGCATCGACCCATACACCTTCGCCTACGGCCTGGCGCGCCGGCGAAGTTAGGCTTGGGCTCAACATGATCGTGGCTTGAAGCCAATTGCGTCCCTTCTCCAAAGGGCAGGGAAAAAGAGCATTGAACACTTTTTGCAAACCTTCTTTCATTATACATGCAACAAAGGCTGAATCCAAGCAAAGCAGCAGCTCTAGAGGGAAGTGCCCATCGTTGTCCTGGAAAAGCATCGCTCAGAGTTTCACGGGCTCGGAGTGCAGACTCCTAGATGGGGGTTTCCGAAAACAGGGGACCCTAATATTACTAATATGATACCCTAAATTCTAAATAGTATAGGATCCTTATTATAAGGATCCCAAAATAAGGCACCCCCAAATTTCGGAAACTCCGAAGTTTTGAAACTCGGAACCCCTCGAGCCAAAGGCAGAAATCGCTCTCCAGACCCCAAGCCACGAATCCGGGCTCCGAAAATGAGGGTTACCTTATCTTGGGCTCCCTAAAATAAGGATGCTCCTATGTAGGGTACGAGACGAGGGTCCCCTACTTTCGGAAACTCCCAAATGCCTTCTGCCAGAAATACGCAAGCAAGTACTGGATACGACCACGTCCTGAGCTTCCACCGGGGCCCCGCCACGGCAAAGAGCAGCAACCACCTCTGTGTCCCATAAGCACAGGATGGCTTCTCACCTAAACCTTCAGCCTTATAACCTGAAAAGCTACCATCCTCAAACTCACGAGACCGCTAGAATCTTCAAACCCCATAGAAAGGCTAACAAAAGCTCCACCTCGACCGCACCCTTGCGGCAGGCTTGGTGGAGGGCTGTTGAGCCGAAAACCTCGAGAGGGGCTGAACAGGGCTGCTTCTGCATGATGTAGGGGCCTTCATGATTAGAGTTGGGTTTCGGGCTCCTTTATAGTATAGTTATAATAAGGAACCCTGAAATAATATTGGGAATTGTTTAGGCTTCTTCTGCGTGAGCGCTTCTCGCGTTCGGGTTGTTTTGCCTCGCGCCTGGCTAGGACGAACCTACGATGCAAGGTTAGGGTTTGTGTTAGGATTTTAAGGGATCGTATACCTTGTAGCCTATGTTCCCTTGAACCCTGCTGAACTCCCAACTGCCCTATCGCCTTCTATGTACCTCTGAATACGAAGCGGTCGGTTGCACTGTTGGTGCAGCCGTGGTTGCCGGTGGGTAATGGTGAGTAGCACAAACAAACTCTGCATATCCATTTCCCTGACCCTGGAAACATCAGAAACAAAAAGCAGTTGTGGACGCTGAAACTGCCAGCCAGCTGGCATCCACGGCTGAAGCATCTGCGTTCCGCTCCAGGAGCGTCCTTCTTGCTGTAACTTGCATGCAGCAGGCTCGAAACCGAAGCAGATGTATTACAAAGCACTAGCCCAGAACATGCACCAGTTCAAATCTTAGCTTGTATGGCCTGCACAAATGGCTGTGAAGGATGAGCGTGCTGTTGTATCGAATCTTTTATGGACTGATTACAATATCCGAAGATGGAACATATATATATATATATATATATATGTATATATGTATATATGTATATATGTATACATGTATATATGTATATATGTATATATGTATATATGTGTGTATGTGTGATGTATGTATGTATGCATGTATATGTCTGTATGTATATATATATATATATATATATATGTCTGAATGTATATATATATATATATATAGATAATCAGTATGAACAGCTACAGCTATCCCGTGTCTAGATCATACTGGACGCTCACATAACACTAAACCTCCAACCTTGACACAGCACCACAAGCAAGTACACTGTATACAAACCCGGTCAGACTCGGCCCCCCCACAAAAACAAGCCACAAAAATCATAAACAACAACACTCCTTTGTGCCTGCGGGCCCGAGGGAAAGAAGCCACGAAAAGCAAACAAACACTCCTTGGGTTTGATCAAGACTACTGTCGGAGCGGATCCCGAATTCAAGCGAGGAATCTTGGCCGACGGAGATCTTGGGTGTGCAAGGACTGCTTTCAGGGGACGGTTTCGGGCTTTTGAATGGGTGCAGTTCGGCTTTAAGGCTTATAGTTTTGGGCCATGGGGTTGCGGGTTTGGGGCGGGTTTAAGTAGGGCTTATAGTTACGGTGGTGGCGTTTCTGGTTTGGGGCTCCGGGTAAGGTGCAACCCAAGGCTCTCAACGGCTTTGCTGCCTGCAGCTTCGCTCCACCTGGGGCTCTTTGTTCCACATAAACACCCTAAACCTAAACGGCAACAGGACTTGGGCTTTAGGACTGTAGGCTTCTTAGGGTTTGACCTCCACACGTGCACAAACACTGTCTTGGAAGTGACTGGAGGTTTCCTGTGAAAGGGTTTTGCAGTACACGGCAGCGCCGGATGCAGAGCTCCTAACTAGCGATAGGGTTTCGGACGTCTGTTCAATGATTTCGGTCCTCAGGATTCAAGGTTCAGGGCGCAGTGTCTTTGAACCGACGTAGATTGCAAACAGTGCAAAGCCCACGTAGAGCACCTCACTGCACTCAAGCCGGCGTAGGCCCTAATGATCTTACGTCTCCAGCGAGCTGCGACTGACGGAAGCCCCAAGCAGCCGAGAACCACACTCCGACCCCCCATAGCTGACAAGCAGGCAGATAAAGGCGAACCCCTCCCTCTGTGCTCTGACCTGCTACAACCGTAACTCTGCATATTCAAGCACAGAAACTGATAGGAACCCCTTCATCTCAAAATAGTAATTGGCTCATCCAAGCCACTCGGTGACCAGAAACAGCGGAGACAACTTTTGACCGTGCGTCGCAACGCCAAGCTCCGCAGAGGAGTTCACCAGCAACTCTGCCACCGGCCAGCGGTTCTCCTCTAAAGAACAGGGCTTTCATGTAAAATGATATACTAATATACTTTATGTAGCATATAATATTGAGACTTCCCAAGCTCTGCAGCCGGGCAGATAGCTGGGTTGTATTTATTTATGGAAAGTTTATGAAATATTTACGATTCTGATTTATGATTTCAAAAATGTTGATTTTTGATTTATAAAAAATATATGAAAAAATATGAAAAAAAATACGAAATAAATACGACCCGAAACTCCTAAAATTTATGAAAAAAATACGACCTGTACAACAATTTATGAAAATAATACGATTTGTACTATTATTTATGGAAAAAATACGATTTGAACTATTTAATATGGAAATCATATGGTTTCTATTATATTTCTCATTTACAGCAATTAATGAAAATAATACGATTTGTACTACTATTTATGGAAAAAATACGGTTTGAACTATTTAATATGGAAATCATATGGTTTCTATTGTATTTCATGAGAAATACGAAATTAAGCAAAAGAAAACATACAACTGGCAATGCGCAGTATAACTTGCCACATCTATTCCGAAAACTAGCCCAATATTGCCAAATGGCTATCAAGCTTGTCGTAAATGAGAACATGTAGAACGAGACCACACGTGTAGTCACATGCGTACGAAGTTAGAGAACTAGCTGTAACTAGTTACCTATTAGACCTATTATGGGATTTCCATCAACTACCCGCCATCCTTGCACGCAGATTTGCAATCAGGTGTGCTATCAAATTGCAATTGTTTCTCCCCCGAGCCCAAACATATTGATCGGCATTAAATTGTCCCGGCTGATGGGGATGGGAAACATCATTATCGGCAACAGCAGCAGTCGTAGCCATGGTAGCCGCATCATAATCATTATCTCCGTCATCATCAGGGTCGTCACCGTCGTCGTCATCTTCATGAACAATTGAACAACACCGCGGAGATCTTGAAGCTGACAGTCGTGCTTTGAACTGCTCGGTCTATAACGGTACGATACCGTGGTGATGATGCTGGATGATGCAGATGATGATTGTGGAGACAGCCGGTAGTGTAGTGTAGTAGTGATGAAGATGATGTCGATGACTTCGATGACGACGATGATGCTGATAATGATGGTGAGGACTGATGAGGAGGACGATGACGATGATGAGGACGACAGTGACCCACGATGACGATGACAATGACGGTGACCATAATATTCAATTCAAGCATGTGATACATAGGACATAAGATTCTCACGCTCAAACCGACTCAAACCTGCTATCATAACTGAAACCGCGGCCCTCATGTCTTGTGCCACTCTGATCTACCATGATTGTATCAAGATCTTTGAAGCGAAGCGCTCCGCTACTAAAACTATTTATCGAGAATCTAGAATCTAGACACGGCCTGGGGGCTTGGGCCTTGGATTCCTGGCCCCGTCGTCCTAAAGATGTCACAGGTCAGAAACCAAGGTAATGCGATATAGGTGGTTAGATTCTAATGTAATTAGATTGCATCGAAGCACTTTGGGTTCGGACTTGGGCATATCACAATCTCGAATATATTCACTTCCACACCGAAGCACTCCCAAGTGTTTGCGCACAGCACTGCACGAGGAGCGGACCATCATCCGGGTCTTGGAAAACTAAGCGGGGTTCTGCTACACACACGAGTACTCTGGCGTGGATCGCAGCATTTGAAACCTGATCTCTCAACTGAGGGACCACACACTAAGGCCAGATTCACTAAAGTCTCAAGTCTCTAGAGTGACGTCCAGACCTCAAACTGCTCACCCTGTAAAAGCGAGTCCTCGCATGAAGCACAAAAGACTGAGCACACAGTGTCCAGAGCTCGAACGGGACGGACTGTGCAAAACACTGACAGCTAGCAGCTAGCAGCTAGTGCAGCTACTTAGTTAAGTTAGTTGCTACACTGGGCAATGTGCAACCGGAGACCGAAACTGATTCGTGTCAGGTGCGAAACCTAATTTTACCGTTGGGCAGGATTGGGTGGCTAGGGCATCGAGGTCTAGGCTAGGCCAGCTAAGAGCAGTGTAGGTCCTGTAGGTTTGACGGCAACCGCAGCTATCCACTAAATTCACTAAATAGAAGTAGCGAGCCGACCTGGTACACTGTACACTGCAACAAAACGTAGAACCGACTTGGATCACTTCACCAAATCGCGTGCAGCTTCGCACAGCTTAGGCGCCACGAGGCTTTCTTTCACTCGTTTGCCTGTGATGTCTCCCAGCTGAGCCCGAATCAAGGCCAGCTTCTTGTTCTTCACACTACAGCTGAATGCGAAACACATCAAGCTTTCACACCGCAAGGCCTTCGCTTGCTCACAAACCGTGGTCGATGCTTTGATGGCATCAGCAAGGTTGGCAAGCTTGCCTGCGTATGGCCCGGTCATGTCCAAGAAGTCCTTGGCCAGCTTGAGCTCCTGTCAACTTTCGCTGAAACATCGCTTTATTCTGGGAACCGAGCAAGTCAAGTCATGCCCGCCAAACAAAAAATCCAACATTCCCCGCATTCCTCCCCCCCGACTACGGTCTAGAGTCCAGAACAGCTCACACCCAGTAGCAGGTAGCAGTAGCAGCACCTGCACTGCGGCCCAACATGTCCGCAAACATCCACTCCTATAGCATTTTATGCGCTTATGTCACTACACACAGGAGCTGCTCCCAATGAATTGCCATATAACTTGGTCTATAGAGTACTATAGAGTACTATAGAGTATTAAGTCTATTCCAATCAGTCTACTACTCCCTGGCCCCAGTCCGACCAGTCCTCGACTAACGAGGTGCACAACGCTTCGGCGGATTCACCCTCAATGCTGTCGATCGTGGTCTTCGCTTTTGCCAGCATCTCGTCAAGGGAGCTTGTGTCTGGCAGATCGGCCTTCCAAGACACGGCCTTCGTGACCTTGCCTCCAGCGAAGCCGCCATAGCCCTTGGTTGCCTCGGCCAGCTGGTCGCCAAGCTCAGACAAGCGCTCCTGCATGCCAACAGCCTTGAGGTGCATGACATCCATGAGCCCGTCGTGGCTGAGCAAGCCCTCCACAGTCTGTCGACAGTCGAAGGTGAGCAGAACGGCAAACTTTTCGTGCTGCTCCACTTCCATCTTGCTCTCGATGTCCAGTGCCTTGTTCGTCAAGACGTCCAACGCCTTTGTTGCCTTTAAGCACTGTGTCAGCCTTGCTGAACATGTCGTTGATTCCAGGATGCTGGCTGGAGTGTTGTTCTCATCCCCGCTGGATCTCAAGGCCACCCAAGCCTCCAGCCAATCGTTGGCCTTCAAGATCATGTCCAGCTGGAGCAGCATCCACGACTTCAACTCATGGCCACTGTTCTGGATCACATCCAGGAACTTCTTGGTCGCATTGATGATGCGTGGGTCGACCGCGGTGTCCTTCGCCGTGGCCTGAAGGAATGCGCAATGACAGTGTATTGTTTCGCATCCTAACCGGTGTATTGAGTGAGGATGCTGCTCTTGCATGATGTCAATGTCTACACTGTCTACACTCTACACACACTTCACTGCACTACACGACCAACCTATTGTCTGCGATGCTGCAACTGAGCAACCTCAGTATGATCACTGTCACTGCCACCATGCCGGGACATGGATTTACAAACACGTACAAACTTATTCGGCCCCATACTCCATACGACATACGAAAAGCTCCTACAGTTCGGCAGTAAACCTATCATGAGAAATCAAAGGTGCAGCGGGTCCCTAACTCTGAACCCGGACCACTGAAGCTACTTCTACTGCACTTGCTGCTGCTACAGATGCCTGAAGCCTCGACTTCGGTTTAAATTCTTCGTTGAGGACTCACTCAAACAATCACAAGCACTAGGTCACTAGGTAACTGGACTCACTAGACAACAACCACAACCACTCTATCGGCCAATTTGCTGCAATTCTTGATCTAAACCAGTTTAACTCCGTACAATCTAATAAAGAAGAGCCACGCAATCTTCACTCCAGATGAGTCTTGTACTGGTCACTAGTCGCCGAAACTGTTTCTCATCGCGATGCATTCCGAAATGCATAGGCATAGTTATGGCATAGTTGAATAAGGAATGAATGGTTATGAGTAGTTGAATAGTGAATAGTGAGTGGTGAGTAACTAAAGAGAATAGGTGAAAGAGGTAATTAATAGGTGCCTTCATTGAAATCCCAAAACATGAACTGACATGGATATGTTCAACTCATCACATGTGTTGAAAATTCTCTCGCCGGCCTTGACGATGCCTGCGATGACCCGGAAGATCCAGTCAAGGGCATGGTTGTAGTCTGTCTCCTGAGCACCTTTGAAATTCTCGATGACATCCTTGGGGCAGTTTTGCCACGCATCAATGAAGGCACCCAAGTTGCTCGCATTCATGGGGGCTTGCAGATCTTCCGGGTAGCTGCGGCAAATGGCCATCAGCTCGGATGCAGCCAGGTGCTTCTCTGAGTTCTTGAACCACCTGCTGAGCGAATCGCAAAGCTTGGCAACACCAGCCTCATCGGCGAACAAGTTCAGGGCGTCCTGCACAGCAGTGAAAGCAGTCGTGCCGATGCTGGCTTCTCCCGGCCGGGTCTTGGACAGGAAGCCTGCAAACTTGCAGAGGACGCTCTTCAAGAGCTTCATCTCATCCTGGCCCAAGCCCTTTCTGAGCTGCTTCTGCAACTTGGGAAGCTCACGAGCTGCATCCGCTAGCAACTCCACATCCAAGTTGGCAACCTCATTAATGTCCTCGACCTCGGACATCTTTTTCAGGATCTTGCCGTGCTCCTCCAGCTTGGGCAATGAGGCCTCGGTGCTCTCCCACCTCGAAAGCATGTCATCCACCAAACTCGCCCAAACCTTCTGCCGGCTGTCTGAGATGATGTCGCGAAGGGCACTCTCTTCACAGTTCTTGCCCTTGTAGGCCCTCAGCTCGGCCACTGCAGCGGGTGACGAGCCCATGAAGCCCGGCATCGGGCTCAGCAAGCAAACCAAAGCCAGAACCATCTGTGAGAAGCGCTCGTAC